TATATATTTATATTATAAATTTTATTATTAAAAAGTGAAGGTTTAATTGTAATAAAAATTGTCTAAAAATACAATTTGAGATAGGTTGTATTTGAGTTTTACTTCTACATTAAAATTTTTGCAAATAGATTTTTCAAAAAACAGTGTTTGAAAGACAAAACCAAAATAAATCAGAGTAAATTTTATTTTTAAAAAGTGAAGGTTTAATTGTAATAAAAATTGTCTAAAAATACAATTTGAGATAGGTTGTATTTGAGTTTTACTTCTACATTAAAATTTTTGCAAATAGATTTTTCAAAAAACAGTGTTTGAAAGACAAAACCAAAATAAATCAGAGTTGTTTTAGTTTACTATTACAAAAAAAGTAGGAGCCAAATTAGATTTTTTTGTCTTGTATCATTGATAACACAAGAAGGGTTGGGTATTATTTTGGACTATTATTTTGCACTGGTTTGTTGTGAGGTTTTCTGTTATTTTTATATTTTCATCAAGAATGTTACTTTAGTTCATTCATAACAATTTAGAAGGCAAAGAATGTATGATTTATTCCAAGAATGTCTGTTGATACAGTTGGGCTTTGTTCCCTAGTGGACACAGAATGTAGGTCAGGTGGGGTGGTTAGTTGGTATGTGTTACAATGGGAATAATACAGATAATACTACCTGCTATACTTCTTAACCTATGCTTATTGTAAGTGGTAATTCTGGTGATAGTGATGTAGCAAAATAATAAAGCAATTTGGTTATTAGAATATATGAAATTCTAGTACATCCTGGGAACACATTAAAGTTTAAGTCTAGATATATGAATGTGTCAACATTTAAATCATATGCTGATATTTTTAGCCAACACAGACATAGCTGTATGTTTTTACCTAGCCAAGAGTCAGAGATGATTATCTGTTGAAGATAATGTCATGTTGGTGTTTAAATTAGATTCAGGATGTATTTAAGGAGAAAGACAGAGAAGACTAATAGGTGAGAATCAATAGCTGTTGCAGAGGGTTGTCATGTGATCATGTCTGTGTGTTTTACCCATGAAGCACAATTTTTTCAGTTCCTATACAATGAAGTAGGTTTATATTAATCTAATTTAGAGCTGTGTTGAGTGTAAGTGTTCCTTCCTG